GGGACTAATAATAATATCCATTGATATGGCTATACACTGATTTATTCCACATTCATAAAGTGAAAGAGTAAATAAGATTTTGTTAGTTAGATTTTGATTCAACAGTTTCCCCAAAACAAGCAAATTAATACTCACACTGATGGTTTATGTTCATCTATTAGTATATCATTCAAACTGGTCTCTGTCTTACCCAGGTATAGTCTCACACAAATGGGATTATTGCCTTTAGCTTCTTGATCAACCTACAAACAAATTGCATGCATCAAGCAATAAACATTCCAATTCTCTTATGTTAACAGGGGTTTTTCTAGACAAATAAACAAGAGGGAGCACACACAGGTAATCGACCTGTAAGTTTTCTGATCAGAATTTTTCTGCCCCGTTTTAATGGTGTATCTATCACCATTGAAATATTTTTGGAGTAATTTTAGTTTATTTGGTGTCCAGACACATTGTCAGCTGGCGTTGCTGGGAAGTTTTCAGAAAAAAAAATGTTTTTGAGAAAGATTCCATGTTGTATGGCAGCACAGAAGTGCACAGCTCAAGAAATATATTTATGACTTGAAAGTTCAATCATCAATTCAGTAAGAAGGCATCAGCCGAGAGTATCCGGGCGCTGGGCCCCGGTTTAGAAAACCTTCCATGGATGGTCATGGACTGTCGATGCCTATTGTATGAAAAAAAGCTTCAGTGGTGATGCATTAAAAAAAAATAAGGCCAAAGATTACCAATGGAGTGCTTACCTGGATAGTTATGTCAGAATCCACAGTAACCAGTTGTAATAGACGACCCATCCACTCTATTACATCAGACTGTATAGGAATACCGGATAATCTACATAGTACTGCTTGGTATGGTAAGGTCACAATATGTGGGTTGGCCTTAGTAGGTTCACGCAAACTAATCACAGAAATCACTTCTCTATTACCGTAGTCAACATAGAACACCTTAACCTGTGGATTCATTAAGTAATTGGGGTACTGTGTTACTGATTGAGGGAGGGTGGGGATGTGAAAGTTGGCCTTGGTAGGTTTACGTAAACTAATCACAGAAATCACTTCTCTATTACCGTAGTCAACATAGAACACCTTAACCTGTGGATTCATTAAGTAATTGGGGTACTGTGTTACTGATTGAAGGAGGGTGGGGGAGGGGGATGTGAAAGTTGGCCTTGGTAGATTCACGTAAACTAATCACAGAAATCACTTCTCTATAACCGTAGTCAACATAGAACACCTTAACCTGTGGATTCATTAAGTAATTGGGGTACTGTGTTACTGATTGAGGGAGGGTGGGGATGTGAAAGTTGGCCTTGGTAGGTTTACGTAAACTAATCACAGAAATCACTTCTCTATTACCGTAGTCAACATAGAACATCTTAACCTGTGGATTCATTAAGGATGCTGTACACCTTTTTTTGCTTTGAAACCCAAAATTCTACTTTTTTGTATATTTCAGTGCTGGACTACAAGGAGCAAACACTCAGTAGGAAAAAAAGTGAATTGAATGTTTTTATAGGGTGTAAAAATCAATTTTTGTTAATTAAAAACAAAAGCACATGTCATTGTTTTGAAAGCTATGTTTTAATTAATCCGCCAAAGACATAATAGACACCACCCATAGCAACTATAAACAGTCTCTTGCATTCAGTACAAGCTCAGACTAGTAAATACAAGTATTAGTAGTCTGACGTACAAGTTACACGCACTCCATAAATTTAATTTCGTCGAATTTCTCGCTCTTCAAGCAGTCGACTATGAAACCGTCTTGGGGTCGACTATGACAGTGACGAAAGAAAACGAATGCAAGGAAATTTTGAGAAGAACGTCGACAGTATGTAAAGC